AGACCAAGTGGAGTGCTCTAGGTTGCATGGTCTTATCATACACCTAGATGTAGCCTAACCAAATCCAAAGATTCTATCCTTGGCAACCAAGTTACATCTAGGGTTAATTTGGGTTTCATTTGATGTGCATTTGGCATTCCAAATTTCGGCCATGCAACCCTAAATGCAACCCTAGATACCTTCCACTCCTATAAATACCCTAGGCACCACACCTTGTAAATACTTTGGAATATATGAATTTGAGTGAGCCTTTTGTGCCTCAAATCCTTTCCTTAGTCACTAGGTCTTTTGTTTTGTTAATCTACTCTAATGCCTATCTAGGAACCTTCCTAATTGTGTGCTAGCTTTCTTTGAAGTCTTATTTTCCAGCTTTCATTTTTGGCTATCTTTGAGTCTTGTCTTAAACACTTTATTCTTCAATTTTTGGTATAAGCTTGTTAAATTGTGCTTTTGTTTCTTGTCTTGTTTTCTTTGACTAAAGTCTCTGTGCTGGAAGTAGCCTCAAATCCTTGTTTAAGGACCAAATATTGACTCAACAAAAAGTAGGAAAAGAATTGGTCATAAAAGACTTTGAAATTTGACCTAATTTAGTGACCAAAATTTCCTAAACCTACATTCACAAGAGTGATCTTTCCATTAACCTTGTGAGCAGCCTACATTCATCACTTTGTTGTGTTATTTGTGCAGGGTCCAGGAGCAACCAAAATCAAGGATTAGTGGCGGATTGGAACACTTAAACAAGTGTTAAAAAAATTGGACAGCAAATCCGTCACTAATTGGTCACTTGGATGCTTCCATCCTTAGTTTAAGCTATCTCAATCCGAAAATATCCTCCATTCAAGTGTTCTTCAATTCGGTTTTACATCTCCAAAGAAGAGGTCCAAGTATAGGTGAATCCAAGGGGGAGAACATCTTTCACTCCTCCTAGTTTCTCCATCACCAGCTATCCCACCCTTTGAGGTGCCTCCCACGTAACGAGGAGTTTAGTCACTGCTATCGGCCTTGGATATTCCGGGAACGAACCAAAGAAAAATATTATAATCATAAATGGTTGAAAGTGTGTCTAATCTTGGTAGTTAGTCGAACCTTTCAAAAAAAATATGTTTGGTTTTCAAAATTTATTTTAAAAGATAAATTCAATTCAATTTTTTTTAAAATTGGTTCTGATTTTTTAAAACAATTCAATTCAATTTTAAATATGGTTCAATTTTTAAAATTTTTTTCGCACCCCTAATTACTCCTATAAAATATAGAGTGCATATCTTATGGATACAACTCCAAACAAAGTTGTGGATGCACTCAAGAATATTTCTTGAGAAGGTAGCAAAAGTAGATGCCAAAAACTCAAGTAGTACAAGACTCTTTAGGACTACTTGATCCTAGGATAAAATATTAATCCCGTTTAGGCAACCAGGATCAAATTAATGCTCCCATTTATGATTTTGTACCAACATTCATTTAAGTTTAATTATATGGTGAAAAATTTTCCAAATTAAATGTTTGTGACTCTAATGTCTCCTAGTTAGGAGAATGGTGGGTTCTGAATATATTAGTTAGTTCTTTCTGCGCAGTTTATTATTAAGGGCCCCTATCTTTGCCTTTTTTCCTCGTTTTAAGGTCTACGATGGCTCTTAATCATGCCGAATCATTGGTCAAAAGCTCTTTAAGAGCAAAATGGCACATACAGAGTATATAACTTTGGCTTGGTTAAGCCAACGCTGTAGTTTTGACATTTTACAACGTGCATGGGTCATGCGTGCGAAACATCGTACACCAAGTACGTTATCTCGGTCTTCCCATTATTCATGACTTGTCTCTAGTTTTTAAACCTTTGGAAAAAACCACAAGTGGAAACACATGGTACAACGCAATAAAGATATCACGGTAGATAGATGCACTTTTTTTACTAAGCCCTTTACTTCTTCTTTTTTTAATGATTAAAATTAGCATATATCTTGATTAAATTTATGTATATCCATAAACTCAACTATTACCGATTATTTGAATTAATTAGTACGAGATTATTCTAATTTAATCAACGGTATCAGATATAAATCTTAATATGTAATTATGTTAAATATTATGAGAAAGATACTTGTCATTTATAATGATCCTATCTAACTTGAATAAAAGTAACTCTAATAAAATATAAATGTGATTTATAATAAAAATTTTACATTTTCTTTTTCAAATATAAAATATAGACCAAGTCTGCCCACTATAGAATTTAAATGTTTTTTTAAACACTAAACATTAGTATTTAGTCTGAACATTTTACAATTTATTATATATAACTAAAATTTATCATAAATTATATAAATAAATAATATATTTAAATATATAAATACAACTTTAATAATGATTTTAAAATTATTGTCATTAATATAAAAAAAATGTTCCTAAAATCCTTTTATAACTCAAGCGTTATTTTATATTTGATAAAATATTACAAAAGCATATTCATAGCAATATTTTTCCTGATGTTGCTAAAAGTACATGTTGTTGTAAGTACTTTCCTATTACACATCGTAATGTTTAAAATGATAGTTGTGTTGTGAAAATAAAATTAAAAATACATATAATTAAATGAATTTGTTAACTTATATTTATTTGTGTTTTTTTAGTTAGGGTAAGTTAACCAGGTATGTGGTAAGTATATTAAAAAAAGTTCAATATAATTTGTCAATAAATTCCTTCCAAAATAAAATAAAATAAAATAAAAATGCATATATGTTATTTACTAGCATACTTGCTTATTTTCCTTTTCTAAGTATGTTATAAATTTAGTGGGTGTGATATCATAATTATTTAATAACAAAACTCATCAAAAATTTATGGTTTTCAATTAATCATAAATAGAGTTTCCGATCATGTTAGAAATTCACTAAAGTAGCTAAAAGACAAAAGTATCCAAGAAGTTGAGATGTATTCATGACACTTTGACATAATGGTGAAAGCATATATCTGTGTAACCAAAGATGAAACGAGGGTTACCTACAACGACAAAGCGTGCCAGCCATTTCGGGACCAGGGAATCCCATCAAACTTAATATTTTTATGGTGCTTAAATGGAATGCTATCAATAAGAGAAGATTTTGGCACCAAATAATGAAATTTGTCAACAAGGTGGACTCAAGTATGGTTCTTTTTTCTCCCCTTGAAAAATTTTCTAGTTGAACACAAACACATACCCTTGTCTCAATAAGGGTGGTGACCAATGACCATCATTTTATAATGACAATCCCTCCATGCTTTCATAGCTTTCAACTAAAGTTCTTTCCACCCAATCATTTGTCACCCCTCTCAAAGGACACCTTGCTTTTATTTAAATGTCTCAATGAACTGGCAGCATCTTTGCTTCAACCTTAAGCTCCTTTTTTAAGCTTTTATGTCACACTTGTTAAGGGATAGTGTACTATCTTAATTTGGCAAAGGTGAAGGTTCATTCCAAAATGGGAAGACAGCCTTGTTGTGATAAGGTTGGTTTGAAGAGAGGTCCATGGACTATTGAGGAAGATCACAAGCTTATCAATTTCATCCTCAATAATGGTATTCACTGCTGGAGAACAGTTCCCAAGCTAGCAGGTATATATTATTTTGTGAAAAATTTTGTTCACATATCGACATCTTAATAGATACAAGTTTTGAAGCATTGTTAAAAGTTTCTTTATCAAAAATAAAGAGTAATTTTTAGTAGAGAAATTCTCACAAGTCTTTTTGAACTTGTATGCAAACAAGTTTGTTGCCTTAAAGTGTGTATTTATTTGAATTGGTGCATTTTTTTGGCATGCTGGTGAAGGCTTGCTAAGATGTGGAAAGAGCTGCAGATTGAGATGGATTAATTATCTGAGGCCAGACCTCAAGAGAGGTGGATTTACTGAAAAGGAAGAGGATCAAATTATACAACTACATTCATGTCTAGGTAACAGGTACATATACTACATGCTTCTAAATTTTTTTTGTTCCAAATAAAATGGAATGTCTTTTGGATATTGTGCATGTGAAGAAGCATTTGAAATCAAGGTTTTAAATTGCAATAGCAGTTATGATCACAGTTTTGTTATGATCCTTGACATTGCGGAAAATTGCAGACAAATACGACAGTCTAAAAACCAAGTTTAGAAACTTGTGTGAAATGATCTAAGGGGGGTACTGTGGTTTTAAAGGGATATCAATGATGGATACTAATCTGTTCTAACACAATGAAGCACATTTTCAGGTGGTCTAAGATTGCTTCACATTTTCCAGGGAGGACAGACAATGAAATCAAGAACCATTGGAACACAAAAATCAAGAAGAGGTTGAAGTTCCTTGGTGTGGACCCTATGACACTGAAGCCAATTGAGCAAAAGGAACAATCTGGTGATGACAAAAACATGACAGACCAACAGCAAAAAAACACTTCAAAAGGGTCTGAGCAAGGTGTGGAGAACATGTCCTTGGACATGACAAAAACAGAAGGGAAAATGGAAGAGAACAAGGTGATGACTTGGGATGATACCACAGATTTTTCAAACTATGAGATGTTATGCTCACAATTGGACTTGGGATCATGGATGAGCCAAGAAACCAAAACCAGCACTACTAGTTCTTACTGTAGTTCCTCTTTCTCATTGGATGATTCTAGCAACCTTTCTATGGATGAATCCTCTTACCTTCAGGAAAATTCCTTACAACAATGGGTTGATGGCTTCGATTCAATTCTACCATGGGATAGCTTCAACCCTCTTGAGAAAGATTTTCTCTTTTTGGATAATAGGCAATAAGCATAACCATTTCTTAAAACTGCCCCATTTTTACAATCTCTCATGCAATAAAATGTTACAAAGTATGTTGTGAAGAAGATTGCCACTTTCATCACTTCATCTTCTATCCCCCCCCCCCCCCCCCACC